AATCATCTGCATTGTCCTGGTGACCTTCGATTAAGTATGCACATATAATATTATTTTTATGAAATTTGTCCAAAAATTCCAGGCTTCCTGCGTGCTTGATATTAAAAAATTTCTATAATTAGTAAAGAAATAAAATTTTTTAAAGTTATCAAAGAAAAAAATAATATAAACTGATTTCTAACAAACTTTACAATCGGTTTATGTGATACGAAGATTATAAAATTGCAGGATGCTGCTTACCCGGAGCGCCAGGACCAGATGGGCCACCAGGTAAACCAGGAGCGCCAGGACGTCCAGGTGCACCAGGTGCACCAGGCTTCCCCGGAAGGCCACCTCGGTTTGTTCTTAAATTTCCTGACATATCAAATTACTCGTCAAATGCAAAATGCTGTGCCTAATTTCAATTTAATCCAGTTCCGTCAACGGGGAAATCACTCCCTTTATGGTTCTCCTCATTCGTTTCAACGGTAAAATGTTACTGGCATGTGTTAGGAGCGATGGAAAGGGAGGAGGTCAAAAATATTACCAAAATCATCCACAAAAGAGAAGCCACCGACACCACTTGGCCTGTAATTCCTAATGAGTTCACCACTCCTGGACAGAGCGCAATATAAAGACGTTCGGTATTTTCTGAATACCGAATTTTTATTCACTTCTGGAAATTAACTCCACTTTCTTTTCAGATGACTTTTTTTTTGAAATCTAAATGCAAATCATTCATTTAAACTGGCTTCTTCCGATTATCACTTATCTCCTGGTTGCTGCTAAACTTATGAATGTATTTCCCTCCCTAAAATCACTACTGTCGTAATTTGCAGTATCTGCGAAGAGCTCCAGCCACCGCCATGTAGACCATGTCCGCCAGGACCTCCTGGACCACCTGGACCCGGAGGAGATAAAGGTTTGATTTTTGTACTGTGTTCCAGACTTAAAAGAAAAATTGTAATATGCCGAAATTTTCTCATTTTAACTGTGGATATTTCGCAAAATAAGCATAACAATAATAATAATAACGACACCGTTGTTATTATTTACTTAGAGTGAAGCACTACTGCTGTGGTTACAAATAAGTGTCTTTACGCTGTACAATTGTTTCTGAAATTTGAAATAAAGGGTCAGAAATTTTCAGAATGGAAAACTTTTGGAAAATTTTGGTAGAGATGGAAATCAGATTTTTCTAGGATATCAATAAAATTTTCCTTTAAACCAACAACTTAAAAGTACATGTGCACTAGGCTATTGATATTGCATTCCTCGAGTGAGAGTTTATCCACTTTTGCGGTCATTTTTTTGGGAATTTTTGATCAGTCCCTTCAAATATTGTTTCTTTATAATTTCGGCGGCGATGGATTCGTTCGAAACAGGTTTCCGTTTCTCCAGTGTGATCCTCATCCCCGCGTTCCTGTCCGCCTATGGCTGCGCAGCAGTCCATCATCAGTACATGTTAAAAAAATCATGCGCTGCTGGAAACGGCTACGCGACCGGAACGTTTTTACACGTTGTTACTGCCGCTGCTGTTGCCATCACATTCCGACCTTCCTCTCTCTCTCCCGCCCGCCGCTTCTGCCATTTTCAAGGGTAGCCTCATAATTTTCAGTTGCTTTTTTACCAATGAAACAATAATAACAGATTGTAAAAGAGGAGGAAACAGGAACTGTAGCCTCAGGCAATTTTTGTTCCAAAATTTCATCGTCCACAATACTACAAAAAAAAA